GGAATTCATTCTCCACCACAGAAAGGCAAGAGCAAATTTGATTGTGTGAAGAACACAGAGAAAAGGGCGACCATGATCTGACTGAAACCACCAGGTATGTATTAATTATTTCAGTAAAAGATGAAATTTACAGAATGAACATCAACTTCAAGAAGAGGCCTCTTATGACATTAAGCTGTGCCCTAAAAACTTCCTCACATAGCAAAGCTGTGAATTAAGTGCTGATGTTACACTTGTATAGTTGGGCTGTTGAAAGACATTTGTTGCTATTGATAAACCACACACACTGCAAAATTTTGTATGTGGTGAAAAGAATTAGGAGTCCCTTAGGTGCTTATTTATTTCTGATGAAAGGTAATGAAAGGCCAAGTGAGCTGTAACATCCATTATTTCTTTTTTAGTGTGCAATTCAGCCCTTATAACTTTGAAAGCTCTGTTACACAGAAATGTTTCTAATCAAACAGAACACCTTGACCATATCTTCATTGGTCCTGTGGATGGAGCAAAAGTCTTAAATACTTAGATCTCCAACTATGCTGATTTACAAAATAATAAATAAAGATGAGTTGCTTTTGACTCTTTTACAGTACATCATCTCTTGTTGTCTATGATGGATTATTAAATCTCTCATGAAAAGTTAATATTAATATTCGGCAGTTGCTTTTCTAATCTATTTTACTACATAATATCTTATGTTGTGTCCTGGGTTGAGTGAGTGGTGGAGTTTTTTTGGTGGCAGGGGAGGACACTATAGGGGTGGCCCCCCGAGAGAAGCTTCGAGATGTATTCTGACTAGACATCTCAGATTGCTCTTGAACCAACATGTTGTGGTTTGGGCCTGGTTGGCAGCCAACCACCACGCAGCCACTCTCTCTCCCTTCTCTTCCAGCAATGAGAAGGGACAAAGAGCCAGGCTTGGGGTTTCAGATAGGACTGGGATGGGGAAAAATCACCCTTTATGATCATGAGCAAAAGGCAGACTCATTAGGGGGAATAAAAAAAGAACATACATTTATTACAGAGACTAACAACGCATAGCAGAGTAGGATAGTGAGAAACATTGCCATATCTTGAGAACACCTTCCCCCCACCCCTCCCTTCTTCCCAGGCTCAGTTCTGCTCCTGATATCTCTGCCTCTTCCCCTCAGTGGTGCAGGGGCAGGGAATGGGGGGTGCAGTCAGTGCTTCTTCTATCTTCCACCTTCGGTGGAGGGAGCTTCTGGAACTTGTTCCCCCTGCTCCATCGTGGTCCCCCTCTCACAGGAGACAGTCCTCCACAAACTTTCTCTGACTTGAATTCCTCCCATGGGCCGCAGCATTCCCCACACTGCTCCGTCATGGGTCACTAACTTCCTCCGACTGGATTCTCTCCCACGGCTGCAGCCCTTCCCGAGCTGCTCCGGCGTGGGACTCCCCCGCATGCTGCAATCCTCCCAGCACTGAATTACAGCAGCGGGGCTAACTTTTCCCATGAGACCCCAGCCTTCTTTGGGCACAGCACCTTGATCAATCAGGCAGAAGCCACAGGCCATAAATCAATGTCTGCTGCACCGTATATCTTCATGGGTGGCAGGGGGGGCCGCCCTGCCATCTCACCACAGGATACAGGAGGGTCTCTTCTCCGGCACACCTCCCCCCTCCTTTCTTCCTCCGTTCCTCCACTAACCTTGGTGTTCACACAGCTGCTGCAACTCCTCCTCACAAGTCCGACTGCCCGTCACCACGTCCCTTCTTAAATACGTTATCGCAGAGGTGCAGCTGATTGGATCTGTTTTCCAAACAGAAGTGGAGCTGACTTGGAGCTGGGGGAGCTTCGAGAAGCTTCTCTCGGGGGGCCACCCCTATAGCGTCCTCCCCTGCCACCAAAAAAACTCCACCACTCACTCAACCCAGGACACATTTGAAGTGAACAAACACATTTCTAGATAGCAACATCCACTTTTTCATGTACTTACTTAGGGTGTTGAGAGAAAGAAAAAGGCTCAACAGATCCCTGAAGATCGAATTTAGAAAATAATTTTGACCTTTACATAACATTTGAGAGCTGTTATTCAATGTCTGTGTCAGGACAATCAAAATTGCGTTGTGATCCATTGAGTTACCGTCTCAATCAGTGTCCTGGTGTTTCCCATAGTTTACTTGATGCTGAAGGGTTCTGTAGGCATTTTCTATTGCCGGGTTGAAAATGCCAGGAACTCTATTGCTCAACAAAGGTGTCTTAAATGTTTCAAATCTCAGCCTGCGTCAATACATAGGTTTATGAATTTTCTATGCCTTCTATGAGCAGGAAAGACTCCATGATACACACAGACAGACATTTTATTAACCCAGAGGAGCTATAAAAGGCAGATGATGTTAGGTAACATAACTTGCATGTATGCTTAATTTTAACTCTTTGCAACTAAAGACATGAGGTGATAAATCAGAACACAGGGAACATGATACTATGTCTGCTCTTATTAAGAGGGACCCACATGTTCAGCACCAGTTAAAATCTTCTGCTATAGCAAACACAGTCCTAGTAACATTAAAGTCCATGTGAGTCTTGGTACCGATGAGTGTAGTCTTTTATAACCAGATATTCTCCAGGAGAAGTGTATGAGTTAGCCAGTTGGAATATGATTAACAGTGCATGATGCTTGGTGATCGCTAGCTTTTTTGAAAAAAAAATTAAAATGTCTCATATCAATCTTTCTATTTTAAATGCAGGTAATTTCCATAGAATCTATCAGTAACACAAGAGCTCTAAAATGTAATGTTAAGAAGAAATAATGGGGGAATATAGTTATTGTAATGTAAATATAGCTATAGTAAATATATTTTGGAAATTTTGTTGTGCTTTTTTTCTACTTTTTTGATATTTGACTTAACTTCAACTTGTGAACCATCTCTAGATGGACTAATAGTAAAAAACATGTTAAATTTCTCCATGTTTACCCTTATATTCCAAGAACTTGGATTCTAGTTTCAATCAGATATACTTCAGTTTTGAAGACCTTGATAATTTCTACAGGATTGTATTTTTCAGGTAATAAAAAAACAAATTCTGACCTTATGCTCACCTTTCAGAGGAATGCGTGAATGACTATGAAAACGACTCATTAACACCATGGTAATCAAGTGCAGAATTTGATCCAGAAAGAATAAACTGTCTATCAGAGGTGCAGTCATGCTGAGCAGTTAAAAATAATTTCAAAATCTAAGTAAAGTACTGGTAGTTTAAAGGATGTTTTAGATTGCTGTCCTCAATATCAGTCAATATATTTATATATGAATTATATACTCTTAATATTTTTTCCTATATATAAGATGGGACTAAGTCAAAACATATTCCTGGGGAAGGACAAGAGGTTTTGTTCTCCAGGGCTGAGTATATTCTTTATTTAGTTCTCTTAAAAACTGAATGATTGCATTCTTAGACAGTAATGAGAAGTGAAGGTGCAACATTTAGTCATGTGGAACAGGTAGTATTTCTTTGTTTTATAGCACACTGCAGTCTTGATTCTGGCCTGAAACAGCTAGATATTGTCAGAGCACAAAAATAATGAATCAACATTCATTTAGAACTCAATTTATGAGCTCAGGCTAAGACATGTTAGATTAAACCACAAGTTAAAACATCTACCTGTATTTAATATTAAAAACTTATTTCAAATAATGCTACAGTATATTTCTCAGGTATTTTTTTTTTTTTTAAATTTGGAGGTTTGCCAACAGGTATGTCTTTTAAATTGTGTGGTATCAGCCTTTCTTCTCATGTCCCAGAAATTATTTTTAAATCTGTGAATTTGCACCTAGGAGTTGTTGGATGAAAGCGGATCATCTGGATGATCATAGTGATGCTTCTATTTTGGGACTTCGAGTTATTTGAAGACATATGAAAACACTTTAGCATTTATGCTTCCCATCTGAAGTTAATAATGATAGCAGGTTTATATAGTTAAAGCTAATTAGCTATGGATTATTACCCACTATTGCAATTAAAGTTATATTATTATAATGGCTTGTCTTGTTGCATTAATTTCTTAAAAACAATAAGTATTTTTTATATTGTAACTGTCTGTGTTGTTCTTGGTCATTAAGCTTTATATTGTTGTTCTCAAAAAATTAACTTCTAAAAAGAGAAAAGCATGTGTCAAATTATTCGGTGTATCATAAGAGAATCATTATCCTCACTCATTGTTTTATCACTTGTCTAAATTTACATGCACAAATACACTTCCTTTAGATTTTATTAAAACATATTAGGAAATTCACTGAAAATTAAACCCGGATTCACATTCAGTTTTTAAAATCCCTGTTCAGCACATCATTTAAGCTTAATACACCCCTCTTCAGGAAAGCTAAGTCACTAAAGCACATGCTTAAATTCACTTTTGGAAATGACATGGACAGCTAGAACAGAACCTAAGGATATAAGCCAAACCAGGCTGAAGTCAATGGAACAAATGTCACTGATTTCAATTGGCTTTGTGTTGGGTCCCAAATACAGCTGACTTATTTGATTAAATGAGCACCGTTTCTGATGAGAGGATGCTTTTTGGAATCATGAAGTTTGTAAGAACTGAGTGCATTTAACGTGTCAAAAGAATCTGGCTGGAATATATATTATAATATAATAGTTACCAGGAGTTGTAGGGTTGGTTTTTGTTAGGAAAACTCTGTTTTACACATTGATCCTTAATCCTTAGGCTCATGGTATAGCTGTGGTTATACAGTTATACTGTTAATATTGGTACATCTAATGTGTACAAGTTTACATGTGCAGTAATTTTGAAAAAAAAGTTTTAATTTGGGAAATGAACAAACACTATGAAAATATTTTCTAGGTTTTCTTTGTCTAATTAAGCTTCATACTGGTCAAACTTAGAAAGCTATAGGAAGTTACATACCAGGTAGAAATCATATAAGGCAGCCCTAGAACTAAAAAAGCTTTGAAGCAGAAAGAGCACTAAACAGAGGTGTCATCTGTGGCTCTTCCTGTTCTTACCCTTCTCTAGTCATCAATGTTGTTTTCCCAAACTAATCTGGTGTTGGAAGCAGAACATGTGGCTGGATGGACCTTAGGTGGCAGGTAAGATATCTGTTCTTATGTTTCTAAGTCACACCAAGAATTAATCTGTCTGCTGATTTTTCTGTCAGATTATTATAATGTTTTTAAATACAGGGATATAACAGCACTGCCTTCTCAATAATTAAATTAAAAGCTGTCAGAAGACCTTATAATACTTTCCTTTGAGACAAATTAAGACTCAGATAAAACAATAAGCTCTTTGATAACTTAATAAAGAACAGATGGGTTTCAACAAAGCTGGATTTGAAACAGAGAAGCAATAACCAATATTTTATACTAAATTGAACATCTCTTTTACAGTATAAGAGATTAAGATAAGCAATGCCAAGGATCATCTTAACCCTTTACCTCCCAGGGTAATAGTTGACACTGAAACAGGTTATTTTACAAACATTTTGGTTTTATTTTAATTGTTCTTAGAATGGATTCTGAGCTGGAGAAATTTGATTCCTCAAATATAATGCTTTCTTTAACATTGCCACAGGTGGTATGGCTTATAAAAAAGTCTGTGAAAGTCTAAGTGAAAATGGTTTCAAAGTGTAATTGTGTGTTTCCCTGAAATCTAAACACTGATGTTGTGCTGATTCTGACAGATTTTTCACAGTGAAAATTCAAAGCAATTAGACCTACACTGGTGCTGTAAATTTCAACTGTATTGATATACTCCTGAATGGTGACACTATTTCATCTCTCTTTTGGTATTATAGAACATGAAATATTTCATGTCCATGGTATTATATTTCATGAAATACAAAATTATTTTTATATTCCTAAATGGTCTTTTTAATTTCTGTTCAAAAGTTCTGAACTATTTCTCAGCTTGGAGTCATACCAATTTCCAAAAAGTCAGAATTTCTAAGAGAAGTAATGTTATTTTATGATCTGTCTTAATGGTCTTTTTTTTTTTTTTTTTTTTTTTTTTTTTCCAATATATTACTTATTAAACAATCCATTATATATAAAAGTAAAATTCCGTGCGGTCTTACTGTAGTTGTCAGTACTATGAGAGATGTTGTTCTTTTAGTAGGGTTATACCATTAACAGTGTAAGCTCATTTGCTTGACATATGTCCATGCATTAAGGCCACAAAGGAAGAACCAGTTCCTCTAGTAGTTGCTTAACAAGCCAGATAATTAATCCATGAATTCCTACTTCAGCTCCACTGTTTTAGATAGGGATGTCTGTAGACATTTTTCAAAGGTACTTAAAACCAATGAAAATTAGGAGATAAAAGTAGTTTAAAATTGCATAGTACCTCTCTATATATCTCTTCTCTTTGAAATTTAGTTGACATGAATGATGATGTGCTTTCTGTGAATACATGGAGTAAGGTAATCAAATTAAAGAAAAGTATTCTGCAAATTCTCCCATAAGGGCATTCTCTGAAAACATAATTACAGCTGAATAAACTCGAGCTATTAGATCACTTTGGTTTAAATGTATGAAACAAGCCTCTGACTTGCATCCAGACATTTCTGTGTTAAACCCAATAGTCCGTGTTTGATTAATAATCTTTTAAGGAATTATCTTTTGTTTTGGTGTGAATACTTGTGGAAATTAATATTACTTAATTTTCTAAAATTGTTTGTCCTTAAAAATCCACCTTTTGCAAATAGAAATATCTGCTTTGGGGAGTTAAATGATTCTTATTTAAAATTTCTTTTTATTTTTTTGTGAATAATTTTCTTTGAAGAAAAATCTATGAAAAGGAACAAAATGCATGTTATATATTGGTAGTTATCTAATTATTTGATGTGGTATAAAGCTGCAGTCTTGAATACAGAAGCCTAACAGATCTGTTTGACAAATCAGTACAGACATAGGCAGACAAAATCTGGAGGAAATCAGACAAGACATTGAAATTTTGATGTATTTAATTCCCCACCTCCCCCACTCCTTGAAAGCCTTCTCTGTTCTTCATAATTTATCTGTTGACTGTGTGGTGCAGTCAACACGCTGGAGGGAAAGGATGCCATCCAGAGGGATGTGGGCAGTCTTGAGAGCTGAGCCCCTGCAAACCTCACGAAGTTCAACAGGCCAAGTGCAAGGTTCTGCACTGGGGTCGGGGCAACCCCAAGCACAAATACAGGGTGGGCGGAGTGGATTGAGAGCAGCCCCGTGGAGAAGGACTTGGGGGTATTAGTGGATGGAAAACTAATTATAAGCCAGAAATGTGCGTTTGCAGCCCAGAAAGCCAACCGTGTCCTCAGCTGCATCAAGAGAAATGTGATCAGCAGGTTGAGGGAGGATTCTCCCCCTCTACTCCACTGTCATGAGACCCCACCTACAGTACTGTGTCCAGCTCGGGTCCCCGATGGGGACATGGACCTGCTTGAGCAGGTCCAGAGGAGACAACAAAGATGATCAGGGGGGCTGGAGCTGAGGACAGGCTGAGATTGTTGGGGTTGTTCAGCCTGGAGAAGAGAAGGGAGACCTTATAGTGGCATTCCAGTATTCAAAGGGGCCTACAGGAAAGGTGGGGATGGACTCTTTATCAGGGAGTGTAGTGATAGGATGAGGGGTAATGGTTTTAAACTGAAAGAGGGTAGATTTAGATTAGATATTAGGGAGAAATTCTTCACTGTGAGGGTGATGAGATACTGGCACAGGTTGCCCAGAGAATCTGTGGATGTCCCCTCCCTGGAAGTGTTCAAGGCTAGGTTGGACGGGGCTTTGAGCAACCTTGTCTAGTGGAAAGTGTCCCTGATGAATGCAGGGGTGTTGGAACTAGATTTTTAAGATCCCTTCCAACCCAAACCACTCTATATCTAGTGAAGTTATCTATCGTGTTTATCTTAGTTATGACGCGGTGGTTGTTAAAAAAAGCTTTTGTTTGAATTTGAGAGGTATCTACAGACCATGTTCTCCAAGTCACGGATTTATTTTACCTACTTTTAGCCAATCAAATTGTAATATGTGCTACGTTTCCAGGCTGTCTCTCAATAGTTATTGGAGGGATCTAGGAAATTCCAGAGGGTAGTTTTTAAGATATTCTCTGAACTCATGAGGATTGCAAAAGCAATCATTTCAGTTGTTAATACTGTACTTATGTACATGGAGTCGTACATATCAATAATTCAGTATATCAACAGATCTTTAATTTACTGTTAGACATGAGCATTTCCCATTCTCTTTAATCTTGTTAGTGTGGGTAGCAATTACAGAGAAGATAAAATGGTTGTGACTTCAGTCACAGAACTGCAAGTCCATAAACCAATGTTTGGATTATAAAAGCGTGCATCCATTTAAGAGAATTTTATTACCATTCATTCAAGAAGAAATTACCTTATAAGCACAATTGCTCTCTGTAACTCTGGATTCAGCCTTTGGCCTTGACAAAAATGACTGTGAGGAATGTTTATTAACCATGACAGTATTTCTTTCCTAACATGGAAAGACAAAAAATAGTGTCTTAAATATTTTCTTCCTGTAATTTGCTGAAACATATACACTCAGGACTTTCTTTAGTTTTTAGAAGTTTTATGAATTTCTCTGGAAGAAGAAAGATCGACTGTTTTACTACATTTAATTTACATAATGACTATAAAATACCAATTTTCAGTGCAGAAAAAAACAAAGCAGAAGTGATTCAAAATCTAATTTACATAATACGTGTAGATGTAGTAGATCTGCAGTTAGACTGGTTCAGCAAAATACTTAATTTAGAGTATAAAAATTTTAAATTGACAATTCCCAACACTTAAAAAGAGAGCTGTGGATTTGTAATATTTATTATCACTATTAAGATTTTTCTGCCAATATTCATTGTCAGGTTAAGCAATACTTTTTTCTTAGGGTGTTCATGAAAGACGAATGACATTTTAAATAAAAACACACCAATGAGCTATGAGATAATTATTCTCCAAGTTTAACTGAAAAAAAAAAAATCATTATATTACATTGTAAAACACTATTGCCATCAGTTTCTAGTAGTGCTGGACCTAAAGGAAAAGTTCCTCTCCTTCTACTTCTTTATGAGGTTCTGGTCCAACAGGTAGGAAAGCCTGAACAAGAATCAGCAGTGGGGTTTGACAGCTGCACAAGGAGTTGATAGGCATCTTTTTCAAAAGATGGGCTTTCACATCTTCAAAGAAAAAAAGAGAGAATTATCTGCTGTGGGAAACTTCATTGCCTGATTGCTTTCATATTGCTGTCCGTCCCATGCATCATAAATATATTAGTAAGTATGGGAAAGAGTTTCAGCTTTTTCTATCTGTTAAAGAAAAGAAGAAATCCTTCTTACTTTTATTTTTTCCATTCAAAATTCAGAAGAAATAAAGTGGATCTATAAATGGTCATCTGCTTTCCAGGAGGAAGAGGATGGTTTCTAGGATATGGGTCATTCCGTAAGACAGTGTCATATTTTGATGTGCATCTACACTTATATCAAAGCATAGGGGCTGCTGTGCATGCTTTTGCTTCTCTGGATATAAAATGTCTTTCATTTCTATTTTATGAAGATACACATGAAGAAAAATATAATTAGTTTAGAATGAAATAATAATTAGTCAGTTTAGAAACCATCATAATGAGGTATTTTTTTTTTTTAATTTATATGACAATTACTTGAATACTCATTTGAAGTCAAGTATTTTTCAAATAAAATATTGGAATTATTAATTTTAATGCTTTCAAATAAAAAATATCATCAGTATTCCTAACCCCCCCAATATTTTATCCATGTAGAAAAAACCTTTTCTGATAGAAAAGTGGAAAAAAACCCTGACAAGCACTTTTCTACCCTTGTTCCTTTCCATGCCTCATGGCCTGTTTAACAATCACATCAGACAAATCACATGGCACAGTTTCACTTTAGTGCTGCAGAAAGCTGCTACTGTGGATTTAACTATCAAGGATCATTTGTAGCTGTATCATCTTAGTGGGTTTTCTGGGTGTTATGATGACTTCATAATTTTAGAATAAACCCCAGAAAATAAGAGTTCATGAAATTACCTATTTTATGACCATTCCTTTGGGAATGTTAGCATAATAGAGAATGT